ATTAACAGCTTGACAAAATCATTTTGTTGTAAAAACTAGATGGAGTAAAATAATAAACTTGGGGACAGCCCAACTATAAAGAAAGAAAAGTGTTTGAAGCTATAGGGATAAAATAAAATTGAATATACACCGGGTATTAGAAGATACCAACAAATTATTATTAATTTTCTTTGGTATGAGAATGGTTGTGTGTGTGTGTGTGTGTGTGTGTATTCATAACTGTTAATGATACTTTAAAAAAGAAACAAATACCACGGGTATATGCTATCATACGAGACTTACAAATCTTGGAGTTGTAGTCTTTCACAGTTGTTAAAAGACTTTAAACATCACCTAGTCCAGGCATAGGAAGGAGGTTTCTATTTAAAAGCCAACTCCAATTTAATAGTCCTAAAAAGAAATTTTGGTCTTTTAAGACTCGGAGGAAAAAAACCTGTCATAAACCATTAGCAGCGTCGGGTCAGGGCGCAAGGTAGGAGAGTAGACCATGTGCTACAATCCGTCTCCTTCAGATCCACCAGTCTAGTGGTCTTCCGGGGAGTATCTTACTGGTCAAGTCAGCTCATTACTTCTTTGTACAGGTCCCTGTCCATTAAGTTATTTCTTCTATTTTGAGCTGGAAATATTATCTGTAGCTTACAGCCACTGACATAACGGTAAGTCTAGTTCCATTGAACCTGACAACATTTGAACTATTTGAGGTAGTTCTCTCGTTCTTCCCAGGTCTAAAACATCACTAGGAATGGTTCCCTCCCTGTCTTCACCACTCCCCAATGACAGGCCCTAATTATCTCTGTCCCCATTCCAGTATGGCACTGTACAACTGTCTGTTGGTGTCATGTTCTCATAGCATAATCCCAAAAGTGACTTTACTGAGTTCAAATTTTGGTTTTCAGAATTCATTTTGAACTCAGATACTCTACCTCGAGCTCAACTTGTTAGTCTGATAGAGCCTCCTAAAATCGACCACGTGTAGATCAGTTTAAATGGATTTCTCAGAGTATACAACTGTCTTCCCACATTTCCAGGCCCGGGCATGCCGCCAGCCAGAGAAACCACAGGAAGACTCGGTGCCCTTCCTGATTGTTCACTGGCTCCTCAAATCCAACTACAGATTTTCAGTCCTACGAAGAGAACTTTTAGTCTTATAACTGAGACCTGAGGGACACTAACCAATCCAGACACTAGTGGATAATGTGTCTTCATTGGCAGAAACGAAAAATGGGCCACCACAAAATGCTCAACATGAGTAATGAAGCAAGGTTTGGTCATTCACTCCGCACGTGCTGCGAAGACTGGACTGGGCCACGGAGCAGGAGAGAATGAAAAACACAGCCACCCCGTCATCCAGCGCACAGTCTCTCAGAAGTAACCAGCTCCAGTGAAGGGTCCAGCGAGGTTCATTGAGTTCTGGGAGGTGAGAGCCGAAGTAGGTTTCTCTGGCTGGGCAGGGAGGTGGCAGAAGAGGCAGCAGAAGGGAAACAAGAATTAGGACGACACAATGGAGGAAAGAAGAGGTCTGAAAGGGCAGATGGGATGGGGACAGTGGAGAAGTAAGAAAAAACATCAATATCAATGGGTTGAAAACCTTGTTTGGTTGACACACAGTTCACGAATGCTGCCAGCAGGGAATAAAGTTCGGAAAAACACAGAGAGGTGAAGCTGAAGGAGATCACTTCCCGTATCAGGATCACTTCATCAAAGGTGATCGAAAGACACAGGAAGGTGGGGAAGAAAAAAGAAAGCAAAAAAAAAAAAAAAATCAGAGCCTAAGACAAATAAGAAAAGTAAATCCAGCTAAAGAAAGAAAGCAAAGGGCGCCTGGGTGGCTCAGTGGGTTAAAGCCTCTGTCTTCGGCTCAGGTCATGATCTCAGGGTCATGGTATGGAACCCCACGTTGGACTCTCTGCTCAGCAGGGAGCCTGCTTCCTCCTCTCTCTCTGCCTGCCTCTCTGCCTACTTGTGATCTCTGTCTGTCAAATAAATAAATAAAATCTTTAAAAAAAAAAAAAAGAAAGAAAGAAAGCAAAGGGTGAGAAGGGAGGAAGACACATCGTGTCCTCCCATTAACAGGAGGCCGCGCCATTATTTGTTTCCCTTCCTTGACATTTTAAACGTGCTGATGAGTGGCCTCTCTTCCCTCCTGAAGGGAAGCTCCAGGCCTGGGTAGCTAATCCTTATTCGCCTTCCATCTCCAGACACCCTGGGCTTTCCCCACATTGCCTAAGACACCCCCAGGGACAGTCGGCACTACTGATCCAAAGAAGCATGGACAAAAGCAAAGCATGACGTCAAGAGAACAGCTCACTGTCTCCAACAGACCTGCTAGCGAGCAGGGGGTCAAATGAGGTTCTTTACACTCACCTGAGGGAAGGAGAAGGGGGCTATGAAGACGGGGTCTACAGAGGAGACAGCGGAGGAAGGCACTGGGCCCCGGTGGAGCCACACTAGCACCGGGAGGAAGTCGGGCTTTCCTTCTTGTAATGCTCTTCCTCCCCCAGCCCCCACCCACACTGACCCACCCGAAAGCCCAAACACCAAACCCCAAAACGGCCCCCGAGGGGTCAGGTGCGCACCGCTTCCTCAGCCCCTCATGGTTAACCTGTGCCCCTAACAGGGACCGCATTTTCCCTTTCAAAATGGCGGCCAGTACGATTTCTCACTGTTGATTCTCTGCCCTCTCGTGAGCTCCGTGAGGGTGAGAGCAACCTTCTCACCGCTGTATCCCTAACACCCAGCACTAGGCCGGAATTCGGTAAATTACTCTTAAATGAGTAAATTACTCTTAATTGAGTCTTAAAAGATAAGTAAGTGTTATCACTTGAATTCCCTAAAATTCTGTAGTACCAAAACTTGCTGTGGCCAAGGTTGCTAACTATTCATGTTCTCCAGTCTCTGGGGACACAGCTGTACTAATTTCACAACCCCTTGCAGTTAGATGCAGCATGGAATGAAGTTCTGGTCATCGGGTTGTGTGTGCAAGTGACTGTGCCACTCCCAAAACGATCCATAAAAATCCTCCTCAGATCGTCCATGCTCCTTCTTCCCCTTCTGGCCGGCTGGACTGAAGATGAGCCCCCTGGGCTAGAAGCTACGTGTTGATACCTGGGACCCCATGTGGAAAAGAGCCACGGCTCCAGTCTGGTCACAAGAGAACCAAGCTTCTCCCATGTTTGAGCAACCAGGCATCCGGGTCTACGTGTTACTGCAGTTAACCTAGCAGGCTCAGTGATACAGCGAGGTTACAACTAAAGTTAAGCTTTCCCAACCTGTACCAGCCAGCAACCACTTGTCACCTTCCTAAGGAGAAATAAAGGCCCTTCAGAGGACAGTGCCGTCTTTCCCGGCATGTTTGACTCAACAAAAGTCCTGTGTGCTCATTATCCTCAGGAGAAGACAGTAACTGAAACTTTGCCTCGGGCTCGCCTGGACTTGGGCCACAGCCACCAAACAGGCCGGCGAATGGCAAGGACGGCAGGACACCCTGGCAGTCAGCGGGCCTGCCTCGGCTCCTCTCCACAGTCCGCGTCACGCCCCACGAGCTCTGGAAAAACGCCCAACTGCCTCCTCCAGGAGCCCTGGCCGGGCCTCATCTGTGCTTCCCTTGCACAAACATCCTGAAACGCCACCCGGCTGTTTCACTGCCCACCGGGGAGAGGCTGCCAAAAGCTTTTTCCAAAAGCCACACCAGCCTGCACTCTGCCCCTCCCGAATAAAGCCTTCAGCCCAGCAGAGAGAGACCCCACCTCCGACACAAGTCACAAGTTCCTGGGGCCAAGCCCTTCTTCTGCACATGTGTTTGACTCTCTCTGCTGTTTCCAACGAACCCTAGAGACTTCAAAGGCAGCGCCTCTCCCCATGGACTACGGCCTTAAGGTAACTGACTTAACACTAAGAGAGTTAGTAGTGTGTACTGCATAGAATTGCTTGTTCGATCTGGGTCGAGGAAACTATTAGAAGGGTAAATTATTGACTAACTCTTTTCACTTTTCCTCATTGCCGATTTGTTTATTTCAAGAACTTCCTGATCCGAGGGTTCCTAACCTTCTGGGGACCACGCACCCCTTTAAGAATATGATGAAATGCCTTTACTTGTTCACAGAAGATACACATGTCTCCAATCACATGTGTGTTATGTAAGATTTCAGTTATACACAGGAGGCCAAGCTCACTTACTGGTCCCAGGTTCATGGATCCTCTAGGGCAGAGGTCAGCAAACTTTCCCTCTAAAGGTAATAAATATTTTTGCCTTCCTGGGCCACATACAGTCTCTGTCATTAATCTCTACTCAACTCTGCTCTTGTGGCGAGAAAACAGCCACGGTCGAGTGCCAACGGGATTTCATTTATTGACATTGAAATCTGAATGTCATGTAATTTACACATGTCACAAAATATTATTCCTCTTTTCATTTTTGTTTTTTTTTTTCCCAGCCATTTAACAAATGAAGACTATTCTTCACTGGCAAAAACCGGTGCCAGACCATAGTCTGTCAAGCCCTGCTGTAAGGCAGAGGTTCTGGAGGCAAAAACAGGACCTCTTTATTTTTACTACTTTCCGATGGAAATTTCACATTTCCTTCTATCATAAAGGCAGGCAACCAGTCTCATGAGTGTCACCAGTAACTGTCACTCAGTCCCCAGCAGAAATCACAGGTATGTTCATACCACACTAGGGTGGTCACAGAGAGCACAAAATATCGATCATGCTCATCACTGGTCTGAAATGATGCTCATTATTAGATCTTCTGCCACATCTTGCTATTTAAGTGTGCTAATGGAGAAACACACAGATGTGATTATATCACAAATTTGATATTTCATATTTTGATATCTGTATTTATATATGCCTGATTTCCACTGTAACCACATGTATTTTACTTTGTGGACTTAAAAACAGAATTCTGAGCACCAGTCCAGAGCTTTCACCAGATACCAAAGAGGGCTACGGTGGAGAACGGCTAAGAGGGCCCGAGCAGGAAAAGCCCTGGCGTCGCCTACCAGAGCATTCACATCTTCGGTTTTGTGGATGAGCGTCCGTATCTCCTCTGGGTCACCGCTGAAGATTGCCTGGACCAGTGGGGGCTGCAAACACAGGAGAATTTGAATTAGAACTACAATGACACATATTTGATGGTATTCAGATGCAGACAGCTCTAAGATTGGTTCCCAGAAAGCTGATTCAACAATTATCAACTGGCAGACAAAGATGAATACGGCTCAGACTCACCCTCACTAGAGGGCTAGTGGGGGAAATATTTGCATCAAGAAATAACCGTAACACAACTTGAAAGCCATAGCAGTCATCTCTAGCCTGGGGCTATGAGTATGACATAAAACTCAACCATAAATGAAGACATCCTTGAAGCACCCTTAAGTTTCCCATCAAGGAAATTCCCAGATCTGCAGTTTTGAATGTACAGTCCCCATTGTTTTCGACTTCTTGTTAGACCCGTTGTACCCTGGTACCCCCAGACAATTCCATTTCTAGTGGATGTTAATAGCCAAGTTTCTGGCCTCCTGAACACTTCTTTGTCAATGTTTGGAAAGCCCTTGAAATCATTCTCAAACGCTTCCCACAGCTTTAGCCAACACTAAAGGCACTGAGTGTTTCCGATGTCACTATATCCCACTGTTTGCACAAAGTAAGTGGTATAATGGCAGGGTGGGGATCATGAGAGGAATACCAGTGAGCACTTATATTGAACTCACCTACCTTACACAAGACCCAGAAGAGACTGAAAGGATTTCCAAAGCGTGATGGAAACACAGCTGAAAGAGAGAGACTAGCTCTGGGGCACCTGGATGGCTCAGTCAGTTAAGCATCTGCCTTTCGCTCAGGTCACAATCCCAGGGTCCTGGGTTCAAGCCCGCATTGGGCTCCCTGCTTACTGGAGAGCCTGGTCTCCCTCCCTGTCTGTCTGTCGCTCCCCTGCTTGTGCATTTGCTCTCTCTCGCTCGCTCTCTGTCAAATAAATAAATAAAAACTTTAAAAAAGAGAGAGAGAAACTAGCTCTGTTTGAAGGGTAGATGGGGTGAGGAGAAGAGCATATCTAGAAAAGCTTCACGGAAGGCACTTGAATGAATGAGTGTAAGTTTGCTAACAGGGTAGGAAAGGCATTCCAGGCACAGGGATCAGGGTGTGCAAAGGTGAGGACACGCAAAAAAAAAAAAACCTGATATCTTGGAAATGCTGCTATCAACAGGGTGACCAGAGTGGGGTAAAAGAGGACAAGCTGTGGGCTCTGGGTTTGATGTTGGGCTCGCCCCATGTGGTGAAGAGCCCCGTTCAAAGCCAGCTCCACGGCCGCCGGCTACATGCTGAGCCCCTCCCACGTGCAGTCCGGGAGTAAGCATGGTCCTTGCTGTTCAAGCCCTTACAGGATTGCTGCTAGGAAGAAATGAGAAGAGACGCGGGAAAACCGTCTGTAACCGTACAACCCGACGCAAATAACAGATATATTTATTACGAAATGCTTAACACTGCTAAGGTAGAATTTGACAATTGTTTTTTCAAACTTTAAAAACTTTGTTAACTACACACACAACACACACTCACACCTTCTAGAAATACTTTACAATGGGTTCGATTTTTTTTGTTTCGTTTTTTGCTTTGTTTTGTTTGGTTTGGGTTGGTACAGATAGAGTGCAAGGAGCAGAGGGAGAGAGAGAATCTTAAGCAGGTGCCACACCCAGGACAGAGCCTGATGCGGGGCTCGATCTTAGGATCAAGATCATGACCTGAGACAAAATCGAAAGTCAGATGCTCAACTGACCAAGCCACACAGGAGCCCCCTTTGCAGTAGTTCTAGTCAGCAATCAGATGACAGCAGTTTCCCAGATGTGTCTGACCATAAGAATCACCTGAGATGCTTGTTAAAACAATGTTCCTACACCGCTTCCCTGGAGATTCTGAGTTATCCTGTCTGGGATGGGTACTTGTGAACCTATTTTTAATAAATGCTCACTTAACTCTCAGAACACTGGGTGAAGGTAAAACCATCAGCATCACCTGCCTCAATGTCTCCCTGTGCCTTCCACATGAGAATCCCAGTACTCATCATGTCTATAAATTTTCTTTTCTCTTTTTTACTCTCCTGTGGGCTTTCTTATAGGTTCTGATGGTGTTTCTTGTTATTTGCGGGTACCAGTGTAAGTACTTGTGGGCAAGTAAGTATTTGCAGGTATAACGTAAGTAGAGCATAGTAAGACTCCTTGAGGAAACACTGCATTAAAAATACTAAGTTGCAGGGGCATCTAGGTGGCTCAGTTGGTTAAGCATCTGACTCTCAATTTTGGCTCAGGTCATGATCTCAGGGTCATGAGATCATGAGATCAAGGCTCTGTGCTAGGCATTGAACCTGCTTAAAAGTCTCTCTCACCCTCTCCCTCTGCGCCCGCTCCCCCCACAAAGACAAATAAATGAAATAAAAAATAAGAATGTTAAGTTGCAGGTAATTTTTCAATATGTCAGGAATTTTTCTGCAGTTTTTCCCCCTGCCACAAAAGTTTCTAGCAAGTAGACAAATGTATCTTTCTTTTGTCCCAAATACTCTCAGTTTTGCCTTCTTGCTAAGGTGCACGATTCAAAGAGTTTCTCAAATTGCCAACAGTTAAATAGCGGGAAAGAAGTCTTGAAAAGAAAGCAAGTTTTCTACTAGTTTGGTGTCAGCTTGTTGATCTGCCTAAAGACAAGAAGATCCTTCCACACACTTCTGACACCTGCTAAAACCAAGTCTCTGGGTTATCTGCCCCATGGCAAGGACCATATTTCATTTAAAAAAACAAAAAACAAAAAACAAAACACAACAGAATCAGACACTAACTCAGGATTTTAACAACAACATGAAAACTTGTTTCTCTGTTCCATAATCCCCCATCTGCTTCGCTCATGGCCAAATGCTCGCGTGTACTTTTCTGCCTTTTTTGAACCTGAAAAGAAAACAACAAACCCAGCAGCCCTATGAGTTAGATGACAAGCAGGGGCAGAGTCTGACGAGACTTTAGTGTTAAGTCAACAGTGATCAATTAACGGTTGAGAAGACACCCATCTCAATGGCTTACGTGTCCCTAGTTGGTCACTTCAAGGAAACACAGCTAGTTACAAAGCCTCTCGTCACTCACGAGTGTAAGGAATGCACAGAGATACTCTTGCCTTAGTCCTCCTGCTTCTCAAGAAAGACAAGGGTTCTCAGCTATGGCTGGAATGTTCCCAAGGAGAGCCACCAGACAAAGCTGCCAGACCAGGAAGGCCAGCACAGCCCTGCGGCAGGGAGCACCCCAAGGACCTCCAAGCCCAGTCACTGAGCCCGTTCTGAAGGGCATCATGGATGCACAGAATTCCCAGCAGAAATGGTGTGCACATGCGCCCAACACCTCTGGGCCTAGCTCTGCTAAAAGCGGCTTTACAGAGTATTGTCAATGCACAGGATTTCTAGCATCCATTGGGAAGAAGCAACTCTTCGAGTCCCGCAGTCACATCTGGACACACATACACCCACCTGTCCATGCATCTTCCCACACACATACATAACTGTATTGACACTCGTGCATATAGACATCGAGATGCACGTCGATTCACATATAAATCCCTCACACTCCCTGAGGAAAAGAAAAGCGCCTGTTCTCCAAGCCCAGAGTCTTGCTCGATGGAGCTCTCTGGCCCCGGCAGGGACAGGTCACCACTGCGGCAACATCACTGTCTCCACGATGGTGAATCCAAGCGTCATGAGATTCCAAATCACGACTTCACAGATACGTGCTTTGTTAGACAGATGCTGTGTGTTTGCTTAGATGTAATTCTTGAACTAAATTACTATGACTCCTTAGCAAGTAATATTAAAAAAAAAAAACACATTATGGGTGTTTCTTTTTTTTCTTCACCCTCCCGAATAAAACATACCTAGAGAGCACTTAGGCATTCCTTTCTGTTAGGATTTTAATCCAATCTTGCTGCTTTATTTCTCCCTAAATAAATACTTACCCTGAGAATAAATATTTAGGGAAAAAAAGATACATCTAAATACTGCCTCTATTACATGATTTTAAGAAAGGGGGAATATTCTAATTACAATATTCTTGCTCATAAGTGTCAAATACTTAAACTCTGTTGACTATTTATTTGGAACCACTATACATATCACAGTGTTTGCCTTGACCTTGGGAAGGCTTAGAAGCAGAGTCTCACCTGCAAAAAAACACAGTCCTAAGACTTGGTATGTACAGGTATTTCTTTCTGAAGTTTCACATGCTTCAACACTAGCATATACAAAATATTAGCGCTCTGCGTGCGTTAGAGTGCAAAGTTGAATAAATACAAATTCACAACAAGGGTCAAAGTTGGGAAAGACAAACACCGGCAAGGGACAAAAAGGGATTCCAATATCATGAAGCCACGGGTATGTTATCAGAACCTAAAGAAACCGAAATTCTCCAGAGAGGTTTGCAATAAGTTCAGCATCAATTACTAAAATTTCCTTAGCATGCTTAGCAAGTATAAACTGGAAACGATTGCCCTGTGCTGTGGATACTGGCACAGTCCCTCAAAGAGGTTCAGAGGGAGAACAAACTTCCTGGACCTACTTGAGCACAGGCACAAATGGATTCAATATTCAGGTGGGACCTGTCCTTGTCTTCCAACCCACCAACTATTAATACCCCACTGTCTCTTCCAGGGCGTTGACAGCTGCCTTCTAGAGGTGACCATCTGCCAGGCTGATGGCACCGGATCCCTCCAAGACAGAAGTGCAGAGCAGAAAGGCCCCTTGAATTCAGCAGCCGCTATCAATCATACAGCTAGTCTTGCCAACACTAGGAACTGAAAACTCATCACCAAAGGCCCCGTTCTCTACCCACATCCCGTACCAGTCCCTCCGATGCAATACTGTTTTATTTTACTGTCAGCCTTTGAAAATAAATTGGGAAAATATCTGGTTTCCGAAAAATAAGACCCTGCATCAAACGTGTATTGACAGAGAATTCTTAAACTTTGAGGTAGAGTTACAACTCCACTAGGGGGCGCAAGATGGCTAACTTGTCACCTGGGAGATAAGAGTGACCGTCAGGTTGTGTCATTAAGACAAGGA